ATCGGTTGGCAGCTTACTGCAGCAGTAATGCACGACGAGTTTTTTCTTTGCTGGCAGGTGTGTAAGGCTAGGTGAGAACCCTATAACGGACAGTGCAAGAAAACAAATCTGTGAAACAAGGACAGTCAGTGAAAGAGAATACAAGGTAACTGTGAGCCGTTAAAAGTTGACTCGAGCAGTCACGCCCAATATTTCTCTGTTGCAATAATAGACGACCGTGATTTTGCTTTTATTTAAAATCACGAACTCCATTTGCCAAATGACAGGGCCTGTTATATACAGATTAGGAGTACTCTGAATGTCAGGACCGGGTTGTTAAAAGCACAGTTAAGCTAGTCCGGGTTAAATTTGAATTTTGATCTCAGGGTTTCAGATACTTTTTCAGTTTTTTTTTTATTCCTCAGTTTTGAATTTGATTAAAGTAAAACTGCAGAAGGCATTGATAGTGAAAAACTCTTTAAAGACAAGGAAACTGGATTGACTAAGTTTAATTCTGAACTAGCAACCCAACAACATACCACGTTTTTTTCACGAGCATTCATGGACCGAGCAGGTGCAGCGATGCGAAGATTGACAACGCAATTTACCTCACGAAATGTTTGAAATGTAGGGGGAAATGCACGTGCAAAGGTTTGTACTAAAGGAAACGAAACGCGATGCAAAGAATAGAACACTCTCCCAGTTTTCTTGTATTTACTTTTGTGCTTGATTCTTTCTTCGAGAACATTAGTTTGGCGTAAGAGCCTGTGCGACCAAATCAGTGATGTTTGCACCATCATGAATATGCACCTCCAATGTGCTTACCTGCATTGCTTTTCTTGTACATGCTTGTACATTTGAGTGAGATATACTTATTATCTGTGGATTATCATTGCAGTTAAAGCGCGGCGATCCAGTAACAGAAGTGGAGTTCGATCGATCTTGTGTTGGGTGCGAGTTAAGAAGAATTCACAGACAGGCAGACGAGGTATTAAGGGACTGTATTTACTTGTTAACTCACCTGCCCCTCCCTGGTTATTTATAATAATTTTGATTTTACAATGCACAGGTTCCTCAACATGATCCTAGATTCGATCTTCTCGTTAATGACGAGTGGAGTAAAAGGCACATGGTGGTACAGAAGTTTGTTCAAGCAGGACGGAAGGTGATTTGGAGTGATTGATACGATGCACATGAAACTGCATGCTTCCGAATCTTGTTTTACCTGCATTTTGCGCAAACCCCGATTTCACGGCGAGAAAACGAGGTGAAATCGAAACTTATTTACACACGTGAGTTGATACCGCAACTTACGCGCAATCAAAATACGCAACAATGAATCTGTGTAAACGGATCAGAAAAGAATTTTTCTACATGATTACAAATGTGATTTTAACGAATTTCTTTATGCGCGCAGACTTAGTGACTGCGCGCGCTAGAAGCTTTTGCTACAATTATGACGTCAAATTTACAGTTTCAATGATTTAGCTAATAATCTACAACTTACTCTAGCCATCTTACGGTCAATTCCCCTGATAAAGAGACAGCAATCGCCGAAACGTCTGGATTTTTCCACGTACTCAGCGCCCCGGACAAAATTGCTCGATTTTCAGACTGAATTGATTATTAGTGGTGCTACGAAGTTTTAATTATACCACGATCTTTTTAGTGACCTTAACTTTATTCTAACAGTTTTTGTTGTCTGTTTTTCAGGTGATAGTGAGGATAAGAGCCAACAAACACTTGAGTTCCCTGGGAGAGTTCGTGACTGACTGGAGAAAAGGAAAATTCACCAG